CCTGGATGGTTTCACATATAGTATTTCACCTGATATCGTGTCTTATTACATTATACATTGTCCTGTTGCTGCCTGATATCACATGTGCAGCTCTTATGAGACCTGGCCATGCTTCGTAGTGAGCAGTTACCTACCCTCTTCTGCTCTTTATTCTGCTCAAATACACAAAACCCAGACTTATTTTTGTCTTGGGCTGTTCCCTACTACCATATATCTATCTATATAACTAATTAGATTATTTCCTCATTTCTATTCTATTCTATTCTAAATGTTACAAATTGGACAGAATGCTGGTCTAAGTTTGAATGTATCTCTCCTATTATTGAGGTTGGATCTAATGTATTTACTCAACAAAGCCATAGTTTTGTATGAACTCATCTCTTTTAATGCTGATTTTTTAATTTATTCCTACCTCTGTGAGTTTTTTCATATTTGTGTGCAATAACTGGTTTCTTGAAATTGTGTTCATATGCGGTTTGAAATTTAAGAAAATTTCAATCGGCCTTTCAATAAATGTATTCACAACCAAATCTCACAACAATTCCTAGATAGTATTGAGGTTTTACAGATCAGATACTGCAGTGAATTTACATGTCAGTTTCACTGTGCACACTGTCAAATCATTTGTTTAAGCTTAAGGGAATACTCTAAACATGGTCCATTCGAATGATAGTATGTAATGCACAATGATTAACCACTTCAACCAACTTATTGTATGAATTTCTCCCTATCATCTGCCTTCTTCCTCTTTGATTCAACTGAGGTGAATTGCAAACTCTCCATACACAACGGAGTTTGTGAACAAAGCCTGAAGGGGCTGACGTGTCTCATTAATTCCAGTCACAGTGAGATCAGCTGATGGGGTCGGGTATGACACAGCTGTGGTCAGAGGTTCATTAAAACCACTTGACTGGGAGACTAGCTAAATCAGCACATCTGTGTGTCTCCTTGAGTAATTTCACTGAGAGTTGCTGGTCATCTTGAGTCTCCTCAGGGAGTTTTCTGTTTGATAGGTAGCATATATTTCCTCCACTGGGTGGGGATGCTGAGTTGTGTATATCGACATTTAATTTCATTCAAGATTTTTTGCTGAACAGTCTCTTAAAGTTGAGTGAAAAACACATTTGGTTTGAGTGAAGAACACATGGTTTGCTTTTTTTCATGTTGGTATCTCTATGTTGTTTAAGATCCCCGCCGAGAGGTATAGACTATTTTTGTTTGCGTTGCCACGGCGACATGCTAAATAGAACAGTAAGTGCCTGCATCTGATAGTACTGGCTTGCATATGCTACTTAAGAGAGCCATTACCCGGTGGGGAGATGGAGCAGAGGGCAAAGGAGAATGAATTAAGAGAGTAGGGTCTAGTAAGGTCTATTGAGAGTTATCTCTGGTGGTGGACAGCTGCTCTCAGTATTCACTAAGATATCCCATCCAACCAAAAGGAAACACAATGTGTGTGTGTGAGTCTGAGTAAAACACCAAAAAAGAACAATTACTGAGCAATGCTGTTGAGGGATATGCCATTGTGTGTGTGAGCGTGTGTGCGTGTGCAGTGCAGTCTGCCATGTCCTCAACAGGTGCTGAATCTGATTAAGGTTTGTGGAGCCGGGCAGGGTGCTGATGTTTAACATTTGGTTCAGGGCAGCTGCTGTCACCACAGCTGTGCATCTACTTTAGATGAGGCTGCTCAGCCATGTGGGCTGTGGGGCCTCGGGAGGGGGTTTCATGTGTGTGAGCCTGCATCTACAGCTTTTAGAGACAGTTCAGCACACTTAACTCGGGCTCTGCTACCTTCACGTTTGTTCACCTTTGGGTTTGAACGTGTTTTCCTTTGTTAGAAAACATCTGTTCGCACGTAGGACCTTGCGATATCCTCGGCATGGAGATTTTCCTGCCATTCTTTCCCCCCTTTTAGCTGAAAACACTGAGAGCACAGTGGAATACTGTTCTGAAAGCCAGGCCCTGCTCATGTGGGGCTTACACTAACAGCACTGCTATATTCATTAGTCATGCTAACACTGCTCTTTTGTTTTTTTTTCTCACACTGCAGTTATATCTTCCTCCTTCCAGGTTTCTGTCTCAGACACAGGGTACAGTGTCACCTCCAATATCCCTCTCTTTGAATATGCTCTCTTTTTCCCCCGGTGCCTGGGGACGCTCTTGGCTAGGCTTTTTCCTAGCTCTCCTCTCCTTCTTTCCTTATTCATTCCATCCGAAACCCTCAACCAGGTAGAGTTGCTTATTATGGTGGTTGCCATATAAACAGAGTCCCAAATAATTCCAAAACATACATACGTGTGAAAATGAGCACATCCGCCCCAAACACACTCCCAGATTTTACCCGGTGCAGATGGCTTCTTTGGTCATACCTGACTCATGAGTGAGCTGTCCACCTCACAGCCAGCAAAGCATTTTCTGTTAGAGAACAAACGCAGCAGGAAGCTGCCGTTTCCTGTGTGATAAAGACTGTATGTTTAACACAGATAAAGAATTTCATTCTTCTACAAGATTTTTTATCTTTACTTCATTGCTTCTATACATCACGATTAATGTAGAAGGATCTAAGTTAACACAAGTTACAATTCAACTGCAGTTATTCAGAAAAGACAGACATATTTAAAAGCTTCTAGTATTTCTGAATGAATGTGTCATTAATCATTCAATGAAAAATATGCCAAATTTCACAAAGAGTGTGTGGAAAAATAAGTAGAATTGTACAGCTCCCACAAGAATGTAATGAGTCAGAGAGCAGTAGATAGGGTGGTACAAAGATTACTCAGAATTAGACACCATACAAGACAGCTCTTGGTTGTCCAATTGGGTTCATCCATTGTCAGTCCATCATGTAATCACCAAATCTGCAGTCTGGTGTCTACAGCCCTCAGTTAACATGTTAGATGGTTTAAGTTCCAGAAAGCACAGTAAGAAAGAGGATGAACAATTGCTTGTTTGGAATAGTTGTCAGGGGAAATGTTTAGGTTTGCAACGTTGCACGTAAACAAACCGCAACACATTTGAAACAATATACATTTTGCAGGCCAAATGTAAATGAAGGTATTTGATCATAATGCCCTACCACAAGTTTGGAAACCACAGAAAGCTTATCAGCAAAAACAAGTCGTTGCAACTGTCATTTACGGGAGTAATTAGGTTAAGTTTTTCCTCAGGACCAGGACACTTTGAGGCCAATCACCGACATATCTAGTTTGTTGCTGCCCTGACATGGCCTTATACTGCCACACTGGCTTGGCATCTGTTTATAGAAGTTATCCTCCTCTCTCCTTCCACACTGATCCTCTCATTTTTCAGCTCCTGGTAGGGCAGGAGCCACTTTAGAGGAGTGGTGGTGCTCTGGGTTTCTTTAGGCAGCAGGCGGCTGTCTCTGTCTCTCTTCATCTGTTTGCTGCAGTGCAACATAACACCAGCAGCTGCTGGCTTACATATATGATAATGCAATAACACAGACTGTCAAAATCCAATTTAGTAAAGGTTTTTAAACAGTCACAGATTTGATTATGCACCATCACCTTTTCATTCCTCATCATGCAACGATACATGTTGCAAGGTGATGGAGCAATTAAGTTTTGTCAGTCAAGTGCAAACTGAGATTTTAACTAATTTTACCCCATATGCAGAGCGTACACTGCAAACAACAGATAAGAATTAGTGCATGAATGCTATGTGATGAATGAAGCTCCCAACAGGGTGAAAAACATTCTAGTCTTTACCCAGTGTGACAGTTGTTACCACAGATTGGATTAGCACTGTCTGGGCCTGCTGGGGCTTGCAGAGATGTTTGGTGGAAGGATGCATGCACTCTTGCGTATGTGTGTCATACTATTTTTGCTTGTATAAAATTGGTTTGAAACAGTTTTTATCTGCAAAACTTCAAAGAGCTGAGTGGATGTGCAGACTTAGTTTGAGAGGTTTGTTTGGCATCAGGTTTATGTAAAGGAAGATCCAAGAGTCAGGGGGCACACATTAGGATAGGGAGCTGCTTTGTGTCAGTGTCCTCACAAAGATAGAGAGATGTTTATGCTTCAGTGTACCGCTTGGGTGCTGGTCTCCGTGTGTGCAAATTTGTAATATGCATGCATCTGCTGTTCACTTATGTATTATCTGTGTGAGTCTGTGTGAACGTGCACAGTCCAGTGTGTGAGAATGTGCATGTGTGGAGTGTGTGGGCCCCGTAGAAGGAATCTATCACACGTGTTTGGCAGAACACCCTGTGTGGATTGAGGGTGTGTCTGGAGCAGGATTCTCCTCATGTCTCCATCTCCAGATGATATTACTTTAAGGAAGGGGGCTGCTGTTGCCCAAAAGTTTGATATGAAAAGTAAAACAGTGACACCTGCTGGAAGAAGTGACACGATGTGAGGCATTGTGAGGTAATACCTCAAAGTATAAAAGAATTAAGGACACACTCAGGCTACAGATGTATTGAAATCTGAATGGATTTCTGTCACGCAGAAGCCTGGACTAATAATTCCATAGTTTTTTTGGGTAACATGCTTTTCGTGGTTCAGTGGCAGGCAAATGCGGTGAAACATTCATCCCTTGCACGTTTGGGTACAGTAAAAATCCTCATATTTGTTTTCAGAATCATTGTGTTAGTGTGTGTTTGTGCAGTTGGACACATCTGTGTTTAGGATGGATAAACATGCCTAAAGCAACAGAAAGCGCCAACTATGATTCCAATGTAAGCAACAAGTTCGAGGTAAGCCTTCCAGACATGCAAAATCCCCAGTCGCTTCATGATAAATCACTCATGTGACAGAGACTATTGAGGGGACCGTGACCACATTCAACTCGAGAAATTTATTGCACCTCAGATTCAGATAATTTCCCATTTCTTTCCCCTTATTTCTTTCCTCTTGTGGAAAGAGATTTTTCATTTTGACAGTCCTCTCTTTTTTCTACCTCAGTAATTGATGCAATTTCTCAAGGATGCTCTTTTTGCCTATGTGTCTGCAGACTGAACCGAGAGAAAAGAGCCCAGAATGCCCATACACGCGGTGCTAGGTTCACACGAGTGTTACTTAAAGTTCACACTCTCATCTGGTGAGAAATGCTTCGGAAGGGAACCTTCGCGCCAGCTATGAGCTGTTCACAATCAAAGTGCATTCTTGAGATGCATTCATTGACTCACACACGTAGACATCCCCCCCATTTACCACAAGCTTCTTCAAGACACATCTGCACACACTGACCAACACCCCTGTCCACCCTTCCCCCTCTGCCCCCACACACAGAGGCTCATTCATGTGGTCATTAAGTCATTAGCCTACTTATTTATTGATGTCTGCCTCCAGAGCAACCCAGCATGTCTGACAACCCACCAGCAGCCTGTGTGAGCCTGCCCTGTCCATATAAGTCCAAAGGACATTTGTGGTACAACGTTTCATTCCATCCGCTGCCAAACACAGTTCAAGCGGGTCTTCCCTGTGGTGGTTGTGGCGGTCAGGACCCTGCGGTTGGCGTGAATAGAAAGTTCAGGAATAGTGTGCTCCCCTCATGTGATCGTGCCTACAGGAAGCACGTTTGAATGATTTGATGGGCCCAGCTGAAAATGAAAGGTTTCACTGAAAGAGGCTGGAGCCTGAGAGGAGGGCAGCAGAAGGGGAGGGAGATATGAAAAAAGGGGGAGGGAAGGCGGTGAGGTAGAGAGGGAAAAAGGGAGGAGGAGGGTGGGGGGGGGGGTGTCGTCAGTACTGGCTCATTCCAAGCTGTGGAAGTGGAGAAGGAGGAGAAGAGAAAAGTAAGTTGCTGCTATGAGAAAGAGAGGAGAGATAGTCAGAGAACGAGCTGCTTTACTCTGGTGGTTTTCCTTTTTTTCTGCCCTCCCTTTTCTCTCCTACACGGGCTCCTAATTTGGGATTTGTTTGAAAGCGGGACTGCGGCTCAGGAAGACTTTTCCTTTGCTGGGGAAAGGGAACCCTGCTCCCTCTCTCACTTTACACACACACACGCATACACACTTGCTCCCCAAAATGTCTGATTCCACTGTCAACGCTCACTTGGAGGGGATCATATCAGACTTTGAAGGTCAGTTTCTTTCACTCCACTGCTTTTCTTCTTCTCGTCACTGTGCAGAGAGCCTCCCTTTAACCCGGCCATGAGGACAGTATGGATGGCTTCCATATGTTTGATTTGGATCAAGCAGATCTGGAAAAATGGAGACAGTGTAGGGTTTGTTGACGTCTGCTGTGAGGTGTGGCGTTTTGCAAGGGATATACTGCTCCAAGCTTTGCTTTTCAGTGCTCTTAAACTTTTGTCCAGAGACATGAGAGGGTCTTTGTTATGGATATCTGTGCGAAAGACTTTATGTGTCATTAGAGGAAAGCTTGCAATAGATTTTGATACTTTTCTGAGCACAGAAAATCAGAAGTGGTTGTGTACGTTTGGTTCTCAGAAGACTGCAGCTGACCAAATGACGAAGGGGGAACACCTGGACCTCCTCCCCCCCAGTGTTTCTGTCTATTCCTCGTCTTTTTAATCTCTTTGCCTCTGGCCCCCTGTCATCCCACTCCTCCCACTCTTCTTCTGCCTCCTCATCCCATGCCTTCTCTTCCCTTTTCCTTCTCTCAGCAACTTGTCCATCCGCAGCCTTCGGCCTGGCTGATGGTGGATGTGAGAGGGGAGGATGGGTTGGGGTTGACAGGCCGACACCTCTCTCCTCTAACCTGTCTGCCTCTCACAAACACATGGCCATTAGCGACGCATCCACACTTGTCCAGAGCTGCTCCTCCGTCAACACCAGTTTGATTGTGGTATGTGAGGCAGACCCCTGTGCCTCTCTCTTCCTGTCTTTGGGTGTTTGAAGCTCTGGCTTACACAGGGCAACAGAGCAGAAAGATGAGTAGTGTTCAGGAAAGGCATCAGGACTGACAAAGTTTGCTCGTGGGCTGAAGTCATGCTTTTAGACATGCCTGGCTCATGTGGACCAACAGCATAGAAGGGTCACTGTTATGACTGTTAATGGTGTGTGTCCCCCCCCTGGTTAGGAAGAGAGTGTGATCATACCTTTGTGTCACCACAACAGATTGTGATCTATGTCCTCCGGGATGCTCAGTACAGCATGGCACAGGAGGTACATCAGGGTTGGAGGCAGAGTGCCTTAAGTGCTTCATGTACTGTAACCAGTGAGGATTATCATGAGCTCTAACTTAAATTTTAAATATCAAAAATAGACTTAATACCTCAGGTGCTAAAAATGACACAGAAAAAGATAAAGTTCATATTTATTTGCCAAGCACACATGTTTAGAAAACACCTTCAACAATGTACGTCAAAGGAAGTCAACACTTTCCAATAACAACTCGTCATGTAGCTATGAAAGCTCATGTTAGCACAGCAAACACGGGGCTGTTGAGCAAAACATAGCGACTGTGGACTGGACCATAAAAAAGATCCTGGAGTTGTGACAAAAAACAGATGCACACACACACACACAGCTATAGTCATGTGAAAAAGAAAGTGAGCCCACTTCAAAACCAAGACTTCCCATATCTGTGCATATCTCTGTTTAATCTGGTCCTCACCGGGCGTTAAACTTAGTTTGAAACAATCAGACCAACCTTTTTTTTTCTTCTTTACGAGATCATGTTTGAGAATGGGTGCACATCCTTTTTCTATGCACTAAGTGGAACTTGCCAGTGAGACTCTGAAATGGACAAAGCATGCTTTTTCTTGGCCACAAGGCTGATGACCTCAGCTATGGCTTCGTCCATTCAGACTTTCAGATCATTGACCAAATGACCAGGCCTCTTCCCAGCAAGAACACACGTGAAAACACAGAAACTCACAGTGGATCCTGTTTGCAGCTTGTTAATCTTTCAACACTAACACTTTTTTTTGCATTGTTGCCTGAAATTAAGATGTCTTCAACAATTGGACTTCTAAAGTTAAAAACATTTACGCATACTTTGATAATTCTACCACTAGTACAAAAAAAAAACAGTGTCAAGTTCTTTCAGTTAATCTCTCTTCCTCTCTGTTAGTGTACTGTATGTTTGGGACATTTGGTTGTCCAATGAGAGGAAATTCCACAGGAGTGGATTTCTGTGGTGGGCGAAAATGTTGGGGTAGGCAGTAGAGGAGTGGATCAGAGCACAGTGGGGCCTCTTTTTACAGATCCGCTTGGGGCCCAGCATACAAGGCTCTCAGCAATGTATCACAACAAAGTAAGTCTTGACAGCCACTGTTTAGATTCGCTTAAACAATAAATCACCTGGTAAAGAAATGAACTTTTTTGGATGACGACATGAAACTTTAGAACTTTAATTTACAATAAGAATGCACATGAAACATTTAGATAATCCATTCCATTATGTTTCAGAAAAGTTATTATACTTCTTTCAATTTTGTGATGAAATGTGGAAAGGTTTAAGTGAAACCGGAATGTCAAAGAGGATTTGTCAGACTCTAATCACACTAATGGTGGCAGAAAACTCAAACACATTTCCAAATGAAAGCTAAACTTCCACTTAACTGTAGATTATCAAAAAATTATTATGACTATAACTCTGTTATGCATTACACTGACACTGCTATTAAGAAGCTTTTGATATGGAAACAAGAAGAGAAACTGTTTACGGTTAAAGTGCTGCTGACTGTTAAGAGTAAGACTCAAGATCTGTAGCCCCGCTGACCCAGTGTGAGTTAGGGAGGAAGTGTTTCCCCACAGAGGATCCTCCTCAGGACTCTCCGTCCTTATCAGCGTGATCAGGCCTCTCCAGACCCACCAGCAGGGACAGGTTTCCTGCTGATGACGCAACTGCTGTGGTGCTCCAGGGAAACAGCAAGGGTCATGCTGCACAGCAAACACTAACTCTTTGTTGGCTTTAAGAGGTAGTCTGTTCTGTTTTTCCCCTGACGGCCATCAACACACTTCATGCTATGGCTTAAAACAGCAAGTTCATTATGAATGATTTTCTTTTGTGCTTTGAGTGAAAACATTTTTTTTTCTTATCCACAAAAAAAAAGTCATCATGTTGACAGTTGGAGTGGAAGTTTAGTTTTGAGAAAGTTCAGTCTCTGAATGCAATATCCAGGGTCACCTATGGTCAGAAAAACGGTTTATGCATTCTGGATTTTTGCCACTAGATGTTACTAAACTCCACACATGAGATTTTTCCAATAAATACTAAAATATATTTTGATTAAAAGCAATGTGTCCTTAAGTAACCTGGACTTCTTTTTAAACTATTTTTTCTTTTCCATGTTGTTCCAGACCACAGTCTGTTTCTTCATGTTGCCTGCTGTATCAGGCAGAGCTGAAAGCTCATCATGACATGGCTGCACACAAACAAATATCCAGCTCTGGTCCACATGAAAAGAGCGGGCCTCGGCCTCAGTTCGCTTGCAAGAGCGCAGATTCATTTCCACTTTGTTTCAGGGAACAGGGTCTGTTATGATAATGAAACCTGTTGTGATTTAATTTGTTGCTGGAGAGTTTGCTGCGAGCTGGTCCAAAGTCTGCAGAGATTGTCCAACCAGTTGTAAGCTCCATCATGTAAATAGACAGACATGTCTAGCACTGCAAGTCTGCTTTAGAGACGAAGGCTGTTCAGCCAGATGAACGAGCCAGGTGATGAGTGTATGTGATTAATAAGAGAATGCCTCTCTTTTGACTCTGTCTATAGTCAATAAATAGCTTTCTTAACCAGTTAAAGAAAGCAAGTGGGAACATTATTTAGCCCAATTATTCAAATAATTCTTGAGTGGCAGTGTGTAACCATAAATGTCTATAGTGATGAGTTTTGATGAAGATGTTCGATAACTCCAGGTGTGCTCCCTCTAACCTCAGTACAAAAGCTGCTCTGCTTTTCATCAGCTGAACAATTTTAATGTAAAACAGCTGCAGTAGAAAATATTAGATCAGCTTGAATGCAACCACGCAGAGCAGTAAAAAGGACGGCTGTTAGGAGGAAGTAAAGACAACCTGCAGTGAGGCTGTGTTACGTATATGTTGTGTTTCCCTCATTCTCATGCCAAGAATTCACTAATAACACAGGCACAGGCACCTTTAAGCACGCTTCTGCTAACAACTTAGTTACACTCAATGACAACTGTCACAGTTTGGAGCTCTTTGGAACTAGTTTGGATTGATGGCTTGTTTCCTGTCAACCACAGAAGTCAATGCTATATCTTACTGACTGTTGCAGCTCATCTACTGTCATGCTTGGAGTGGCGTACAGAATGTTGTGTGGCCAGTGCATGGCACACTGCAGAAGCAACATCATGTGATGCTCAGTCGGTCAAACTACGTTTTAGTGGAATACATCAATTCTGCCCTTGCATGATCAAATGCTCATCATCAAAATGATCATGCTTGGCTCAATTTCTTCCTTTTTTGGTGATATCGTCAAGAGTCTAGCACTGTCCTATTTAAAAAAAAAGGACTCTTTTCTGGATCAAATGAGAAGCGGAGAGAAGTAGGGAGTAAACAGAAGCTACATTTGGTTCACATTATTTTTATTAGTGTTATCTGTCCCTGGTTGGAAGGTCTGTGTTTAGTGTTATCACTTAAGAACAGGCAGCTTCCAGCAATTTGGAGACATTCGTTTGTTTTTGCCATCAGGCAGTAAGCTTATCTGCTGTGGACATTTTAAGCTGCTTGTACATTATGCCTGTATTCGTGCCATTTCACTCATACAAATACAAATACTTGGTTAATTGCTGTATCTCCATCAACACGTAATTGTCAAATGATACAGTGAAGGATGGGTTACTGCCAGGGAAGAAAAAAAGGAGATTGCGTTTGCTTTACTTTCCAGCTGTTTACAGATACACATACACATCCAGAGAGATAAAGCAACACATCTGACAAGGCCTCTGTCTCCACTGAGTCTAAGAGGACGTCACTGTGCTGGCCTTCTGTCACCAGTCACAGAGTACAGTGAGCTCTTTTCAAGGCAGAAATGTCCTTGCATAAGAGTTTTATATAAAAGTATTGTGGGACAGTTTTTCTGCTCATTGTCATGACTCTTGAAAGCCTCACACATCCATGAGCAGTGGAACGCATGTCAGTCACAAGGTCTAGTTTATTTTTCTCCCCAATCGCATCCTATTCATGCTTTCAGGTTTTATAAGTAACAGTTCCATAACTTTAACAGCTTAATCATCCACGGATAAAGACTTCCTCTTACAAGCAGTGCTGAGCGGGACTGTGAAAACCCCAAAGCAGGTATACTGAGAAGCACACCAAATACTACTACCATTTTTAGTCATGCAAGCCTCATTGATGGGTTTGCCATGCTTGGAAAGCTTTAAAATGGCTGGATTTGTTAAAGACATGTGTCTTTAGACCAAGTAAATCAATATCTAGCAATCTGGCTTCACGAGCTAGTCAATCAGAGGCTTATTTACTTTTCTTTAAAAAAGAGAGGCCTTTTTACTACCTATAAGCTGTTACATCATAGAAACGCTTCGTATGAGACAAATAGCAAACAGTAATATCTTCAACAGAAATCCTTGTGAACAGTACTTTTTGTAACACACCAATGAAGTGATCTGTGAAGGTAGAGGTATACTTCACAGTGCATGACCACACTGGCCAAATCAGTTTTTCTGTGGCTAGCTGCCCTGCCATTGCAAATTCTAAACAGCAAGTACAATAAAAAAACACATTTTTTCATGGTATTCAAGACAATATGTTGACGCAGGGCAAACTACTTAGAATTAATGCTTAAGGTAAAATTTGTCCTCTAATATTTCAAATACAAAAGTGAGGAGACCTCCTTCCTATTTCAAAAACGTTTGTTTTGAAATAGGAAGGTTTTACTTAACTAAGCTGCATGTGCTAAGAGGAAATGAATACTTGAGTCACGCATTGAGCATGTGAAAACACAGGGTGGGAGGAAGAGGACGTTCTCCCATGCTGGTGCTTTGCATGTCAGCTCTCATGGAGGCCAGATTTCAGTGCAGGCTCTGGGACGGGGGCCATGTTGTTGCTCCAGATTCTGTATTTGCTCTAGCCTCTGTACCAAACTGAGGTGAGCCAGGAGTCACCCTCAAAACTGACATGGAGCTGAACCGTCAAAGGAAAAACAGCCTGAGGGGGGAAAGGAAAAAATACCCTTACATAAGAGCTTATAAGCAACAACAAATGTGCTTATTTCAGTACTATTTCAGATATTTGTGAACACAGAGATTCTCTAGATTATTGAATGGGAAGGACTGGTGAAAAGGCAGAATGTTGCTGCTGTAGATTCAGGAGGTGGTGGCAGTTAAAACATCACAAACTGCTGCTGTGGACACAGATACAGGCACATGAATTAATGGTAAAATAGACCTGTTTTTGGTAATGGGCCTGTACCCTAATCTTTGACTTTTGATGAGATCATTAAATTATTTTCACTTTTTGTTTAAATGAAGCCACGTGATACCTCTGAAACTAAACTCATTCTTTGGTGGAGCTATTGAAAACTGTTTGTTCTTTTACAGGGTCAGCGTGTTCCTTTAACTTCAGCCTAAGGACTGATAAAGACAAAACTAGATTATGTTTATAATAATCTTATGCAAAATTGTTTAATTCTTCCATTAAAATTGCATTTATGTGTTCACCTTGATATTTACTGAAAAGACACATTTTCACTGACACATTTCAGAACACATATTCAATATTCCTCTTCTCAGTACGAAAAAAAAACAATACTTTCCACCATTGTATTACCAAAAAGAAAACAACAAATTTTCAATGTTTTTTTAAAGGACATCGTGTTTTTAGACATTAATATTGATACTTGTAATAATTCGACCGCGATTTGGTCACGTGACCAATTAGCGCTTCAGCTGGGATGGCAGTCCTAGTTTGGGGGGTTAACAGGTGTGTGAGATGTGCGGGTGATGTACGGACAGGAAGGTGTTCATCGTTTTTTATATTTCTATCGCTAGAAAATAAACAGTAAATTCAACTTCTTTGTTTTGTTGTTGTATACGTGAGTATATTGTTCGACCCAGCGTGGGGAGCGTAAAGGTAGAATTCTTATTCCGTCTGTTAATATTTATAAACAACATGCTGAGCAGCTACGTAAAGCGTGTGAAGTCAGGTAAGATTGGACAAGTTTATTACAGATTTATTTTTTTATTCTTATTGGCGCTGTGGACTGTGTTGCTTAGCGCAGAGCAGTTTGCGCGTTTTTGCCAGCAGAGTGAGTTTGATAGTAGAACAGATGGCTTTTATGGGTCACCAAAGTTTCAAAGCTTGTTGCTGCTTTTTTTTTTCTTTGAAATTGTTCCATATGGTCCCTCCCATGTGAAAGCTCCTGACTAAGTACGTTCTACAAAATGTATAAAAAATTAAACCTTTTCTGCTTTTTGTCTTTGTTTGCTGTCTTCCACTTTTATCTGTTTAGTTTTTATCTATTTTTTTGGCTTTGTATAATAATGTTAAAGTCTACTTCATTGTGGTTGATCACAGATGTTTGTGTTTTCCAGCCCTGAAAAGGTCATTTGAGGTGGAGGAAGCTGATACATCAGCACACCAGTCACCGCTGTCTCGTCGCACGACCTCCTCCCTCCGCTCGTCCACGTCCTCGGGATCCAGCCAGCGAAGCTACGATCTGAGTTCCCGCAACTCGGACTACTCCTCATCCAGATCCTCTCCCTCTGAGCCCTCCAATCTACGATCCCCGAAGACCGGCATGAGGCGCATTGAGTTATCAGGGGTCCGTAACCCCGACGCAGCCTCTTCACGCCGCACGGAAATGTCCATCGAGGTAACCTCCAAGCAAGTGGACAACTCGCCCAGTGCCGGCATCGCCCGTTTTGGCCTCAAGCGGCCAGAGGTCAGCCTGAGCAGCCGGAGTAACCCCCTGGATAGCACCTCCAACTCCATCTCCAGCTCCGTGCACAGGCGAGCGGAGCTCAGCATGACGCGGTCGCAGGAACCCCCAGCCCCTCCCAGGAGGATGGAATCCCAGCTTTCCTCGGCCCCGGCCTCTAGGATCCCCGAGCCCCCACAGAGGAGAGCAGAGCCCCCGTCCCCTAACCTCAGCCCCGTCGAGGCGGTGTCCAGGAGACCCGAGGTGCCTGCCTTCCGACAGCTGGACGGTTTGGTACCAGGCAGCGCTTTGGAGAACAGCCACCACCCACCACCGGCACCCAGTGTCCCCCCACCCGCCGAGCCACGGATGGAGAGGGTGCAGTCGCCGGTCACTGAGCCACCCATAAGCAGACCCACAGACAGTGAGTACTATCTCATTTTGACAAAGCACATATCTGCTCATAAGCAGCTAAACTCATTTTAAGTCACGTCTTCTCTGTGAGCTTCTTTAGTATTTTTGTCAGAGTTATTGTGAGTAATAGTAGAGGGGAATTCTTAACTGCAAGCAAAAGAGAGTCCAGCTAGAGTTCTTGCGCTCATCAGTGTGGACCAGCTGTGAATATGGGTCAGCGAGAGCCATGATGACAATCCCAGGGCTGCTCCCATGGCAGCATTTACAAACTAAAAACACAGGCCTGAGTGGGTCACCAGGCCTCCGGCTGAGTGTGCATTTGCACTGTATTCATAGAGCAACCAACCACAGCAGTACAAGCAGGAATCTGATTCAAGAATGCTGTCATCATTGAGTTAAAAAAAAAAAACCTTGGAAAATGTATCGTAACTGTGAAAAATTATGAGACTAGGGTGAGGCGTTGTTTTGTTGAAATAACTACTCAAGAAGACCAGGTCAAATGTTTAATATGTATTCATCCAGAAATGAGGCTTTATATGATTTAGATAAAGAGATTCTTTTTTTAAAATTGTTTTTATCTTGGTTTTTATTATTTTTTTGTCCCTAGTGCTGTCTATGATAAAAGACACCAACACACTATGTCAGAGGGGTCCTCCTATGTCCAAAAGAATGAAAGCTAGTGCTTGCCGAACATTTGGAGGGAGATATACCATATGATATGTGTACAGATACTTCCAAATTAGGTGCCAAGCTCAAGTACCAACACGGTCTGCATTGTGCGACACCCGTTTATGCCGGTGCAGTTTAGTTTATTTTTCATGTTCATTTATAGCCTTCAAAGTTTGCCTGTGTAATTGTTTTGCCTCTTTGGTTTGGTCTAGCTGTGAGTACAAGGTTAGATGTGAAAAAAGTGCTTTCCGTTACTCTTTTACTGCTTGCATCCTTTGTTTCCATGTTTTTTTTTTCTGTGTTTGAGATGTCCTCATCTAGATGACATAATTTTGTTGTTTGCTCTTCCAGTTTGCTCCTAAAGCTGCTCCTGATGATTGGGATGTGTTGCTCTGTGTTTGTGCGCCTGTGCTATCTGGAGAGCGCTGTGCTCATGGGTTGCTCTCTCTGGTTAAGTAGTATCCAGGCGTGGGCGGCAGGGGGGTGATACATTCCAAATCTGGAGATCATAAAGCATTTTGCATACAGTTAAGAAGATTCCAACTTCTTTGTATTGAAACTTTCTGTTGCACGTTTTTTTTCTTTGGATATGCTGTAAACATACAGAAAAGACGAAGATTTTAATTGTATTTCTACTTTTCTTCCCCGTTGTTTTGTGTGGTATCACTGCAGCGACGAATCAGTCAGCACATGAGCATGCAGAGTATCTGAAGTGTGGCCTTGTCTTAGCAGAAAGGAAATGAGCGAGGAAGAGGGAGAGGATTAAGTCTCGAGCTCTGCCACATTTGGCTCGGATTACCACTTTCCTGCCCAGCCGAGCTTGCGGAGGGAGGCCCTACGAGAAAGAAGCCTGGGAAGCATGAGGAACAGATAGGAGGTGGAGAGACGTAGACAAAATAGGAGGGTTCATGGGCAGAGGGGAAGGGAGGGGACATTATAAGGAGAAGTAGAGAGTGTCAGAAGGAAAGTGTGAGGTTTGTCTGTGTGGAAAATACTAAATTAGAACACTTCTTTAACCTCGGTTCATTTTAGATCCACTAAACAGACAGACCGCGCTTGTTTTTGATTTTCAGAAACTTGTAATTAACTTCTAGTCATATGGTTGTATGTGGCCCATAAAATTATTGTAGAAGGACTGGAGCTGCTTTAGATCTTTAGGTGCATCTCTGCTCATGTGGAGACATAAATATTAAGTATTTACATTCATCCTTACATAAGGGTTTAGGATTTTTAGCCCTGGGGAGGGTGACTGATGAATGCTTATGTGTGTGTTTTGTGATATATATTTATATATATAATTTTTTTTGTGGCTTAGAACCGCACAAGGTGCAGTAATGACATGCTTTGGTTGATTTGTAAGCTGTAACCATGAGCAGCTGTATCCAGTCTGGAGCGCCTCAACAGGATGTGATCTCATTTTTGCACACATGTAGGTCTAAGGGTATTGTGCACACAGCTCACTCAGTTTTTTTGTTTCTTGACCTGGATGTTTTTTGTCACGGCTGCTGTGATTGTCAGCCTGGTTAGTCGAGCTATTGTTTGACCTGGATCGAAAACTGGATTCATGCCCAGTAGGCATTTCATATCAATGAAAGCCTGTTATTGATTTAAAGCATAAGAAAACATACCTATCTAAATATGCATAACCATAAGTCGCGTGGTAGGTTCTTAGGTTATATTATGAAATTCATTGTTCCAACATTTGTATGTGAACATTAATTTCTAAGAATATTTCCAAAATTGTTGGCGTTTCCTTTGAAAATGAGGAAAAGCAGCGATTTATTCATCATTTTACCCCAAGAAAAAGAACTGAAATTGGAAGAATTTGGGGAGTACACTGGAGGACTTCTGAGAATTGTGCATAAAAAGACCAGTAAATTTAAAGAGAGATTATTTTATTTTTTAATTGATGTTTTTCCCAAATACACCCCACAAACACATCAATACAGTAAGACAATTGGAATTAAATTTTCTAGTGCTGGCATTCATGGTAACTTGGACAAGTTGAGTATCAGTGGGCAGCACGGTAAGGTGTGGCAACACAAGTAGAAACATGTAGAAAGTATTTCTTTAATAACTTCTGAGAACTGTTCAGTTTTAATCCAAATGCGCTTTGAAATGAGTTCCTAAAAAAGAATGACTCATTCTTCGAATTGAATTAGGTTGAAGCAGACTTGTTTTCAGTTGTAATGCTTTGGTACTTTATCCTCAAGTTGATTTTACAATATAAAAAAAAGACTGGAATCTTATTGCATTGCAGAGTCGTGCAAGTTATTGTCGTTTTACAAGTTTAAGGAGAATGTTGAGCAACTCAGCAGGTCTATGAGGTAACATTAAATGGAAACGTATATCACAGGAAGTATACTTATAAAGAACAATAGACTGTGGCAAAAATTATTAGAAAAGATGTGAACACCTATTTACAACCGCCCAATAAAAAAATAAGTGAAGTATTCCTGCACGCCCCACACTGTGCATAATTGGAGATTTAAATGACATCATCATGGAAACAAAGTCAGCTCACATGGTCCCTTTGTGTGTTACGTATTGCAAAGAAAACTATTCTCGTGAACTGGAAAGCAAAAGATAAACTCAGCATTAATCAGTTTAGAAATATTCCTTCTGACCACACATTAAAATGATGTCTTCAAAACAGCAACTAGCTGAATTAAATTCTCTCTGGTCCCCGCTGATTAGCTTTATCAAAAGCTAAAGGGCGTTGGGCTTGCCCCTGCGCATACCACGATGGGCGGGCTGGCATGGGCTCCCAGTGGCCCTCCGGCTCCTTTGGGGCCCTCTGACGTGTCCGGGTCGCTGGTGGTGGGCTCGTGGGGTGGTGCTCTTCTCTGGTGTTGGCAGCTGCGTGGGCGGGCCCCGGTGATGGTGGACCCAGGCCATTGTAATGATGTGGCTGCATGGGGTGTGTGTGCCCCCGCTTTTGCACTGTTTAAGATTCACTTAACAGATCCAACAGTCATGTGTGTCGCTTGGCTCTGTACTATTCAATAATACAAGCACTTTGATCAATATTTTCCTCAAGCTGAGTCGGCAAAAGCATGTGACTGCTATCTATCTTATGATCTGTCTCGTGCTGAGAAGTAGGCTCTTTTCACCATTTCACATCCAGCATCCTAATATAAAGGTCTTTTCATATGCCACCCAGAGAGCTCCCATTAAACAGAGGCTTGTGCACATCATATGAGATTCTAATTTCTTGGGAGGACTGTTTTTTTTTGTTTTTTTTTTGTTTTTTTTTGTTTTTTTAAGGAATTTTAGGTAGCATATTTACATTAAGAAAAAAACCCTGCATGTATATAGAATATATAAAATCCCCCATATTCACGATTTTAAGAGAAATACACTGAGCTGTCCAGTAAAATTTGGTTGACTAAACATACAAGTTTCAATAATGCACAATACAACAGCCAAAAGTCAGATGCACCATAGATTCTTACAGGTTCCCCTAATTTAGGCCTGCACTACTTTGTTATGATCACATCATCTCCTGAAGAGGAAGTTGGTCAGTCGCTATTAACATTTCTGCAGAAAAAAAGATGGATTGCTTATTTGGGAAAACATCTACTTTGGAATGTTTAGTATTTGAGATGATTTTTAAATCATACATTTGAAGCAGTTATATTTCTTAGCCCCCAATTAATTACAGAAAAGAAAGCCCTACATTTACGCAAACCCGTCCTGTCACCTTTCTTATTTCTTAATATTTCTTTATATTACCTAGTGATGAAAGAGAAAGAATAATAATTAAAATAAAAGCAATCATAAAAAACATACAAACGCAGCCCAGTGAGCATTCTTGGTTTGATGGTCTTTGGGCAGAATGATTAAAGGAGCTTGGTGAGTAAGAGCTCTGAAGCTCATATCTAAACTGGGATCTACCAGACAACTGTTGGATTTCACTAATTGAATACTGCCTGAGCTGTCTTAAGAAATTGGTTGTGACCTCGTACGTATTGTCTGGATCATAAGGTGTGTAGTGCTGATTGGACGTGCCATAATGCTGCGTGATGTAGACTCTGTCCGCCCTCCATGCAGCATTAGATCCCCCGTTCTCTCTCCAGGCTCCAATTATGATCCGGGCCCTATTCCATCCACTGGACCCCGAATGGCGACGCACAACATAAGATGGAAGGGACTCTGATCCAGGTTGAATAATGTTACCAATAGTGTAGTATTTTCCCCAATGTTGCCTTTCCAACAGACCATCATGATTTCCATAGTGGTGTGAGCCGAAATCACAGTTTGGGTCAAAGGCAAACCGAATAACATTGCCGTCAATTGTAACTTCATTGGCAAACCAGTGAAGGAGCTCAAGATGATTTGCTGGTGCATTATGACAAGATCTCAGATCTTCTATTGAGTTTAGACTCCTCCTTACAGCAGACACTGACATCAGGGCCAAGGACAGAGCCACAAAGCAACCTGTGACATATCTCACCATCTTCATATCCTGCAAAGTCAGAATTCCAAACATTTTCTTAACATACAGTGCATCACCGAGTAACTAGGATCCTTCTCATTTTCATTTTTTTCCCATATCATAAATTGATATGTTCCCTAGCGGAACCTGCTAATACACCCAGCCAAATAAACATTGCATTAGATTTCTTTCTTTTGTTAGTATTGTTCCTCCAGTGAATAGTGGGCAGTTTCATGCGCTCACAATGAATGTGGGTGCAGTATTGGTCTTTCAGGTACAGTCAGTCCTTTAGCCTCTATGTTATGACACGGATTGTCTTAACTACTCTCTTCCAAAGTTAGATCCCCCTGAGTTTTTATGTTGTAAACTACCACAATTACTGACAAATAAAACAGAATATCTAAAAGCGCCATGAACACGGGCCCCTTAATAAAGTCATAAGCATGAGAATGACAGTATGTTTCCTTTTCAGTGTCAGTTTAAATAAGGTTGACAAATATTATTCATATTACTCTAAATAAAGCTAAAAACTGAATAATTTCTTTACATTTTTTTCCTTTGTGGTATTTTGGATTTTAGTTTGATTTGGTGGTAAATAAATCTTTCCATCAGAAGATAAAAGGTCTTACCTCCAGTTGTCTGCTGCTGTTGAATATCTAGTCTGCTGTGAATGTGAGAGAGAAACGGCAACATACCTTTGTACTTTCATTTCCTGGCAAATGAAACTTAAGAAACATTTGTTGCATCAGCCTATCAGACGCTGAGTGGAATAGGGAAGATTCTGTTCAGCAAAGCTAGCTGTTTAGTAATGGAGCTCTTTACTGTATTTGTTGTTTGTATTTGTTTTTAAAAAGCTAAGTGGCGGTGTACTGTTTTAGTAAAGGAGCTGCAAGTTTTATTTATATTTTTGACAAATTTGGTCTGTGTAATTATCACACAGAGTTGGAGATTTTATCTATTTGATATGTAAATGAATAAGAAACTGGAATTGAAAGTATTACATGTAGGACCGGTTAAATTTTAGATTGAGTGTCTTTTTCTTTGTTCACAAGTACTGTAGGGGATATTAAAGCTCTGTTCCCATATGCACGTCTTGCTGTTACTTGGGTGCAAATTAAATGTTTGGGTGTCGTGTTACCAACTGGTGTGTGTCTTAAACACTTTCAGATATCTAATGTTGTATCTGATGTAGTTTTCAACACAGCTGTAGCATAAAATGTAGCATGTAAGAGCAAACTGAGCTGCACAGCTTTTTTATGCCACAATGTTTTTAGAAAATGTGACTGAAGGTTTTAGTAAAAGAGTTGCAAGGCACAACTTTTTCAAAAAGCATCAGCTTTTGTGTTCTCAGGTGAAATTAGTTTGATTTAGATGAAATTCTGGGGTGGCATTTTCTTTTCTGTCGTTTCTTATTCCAAGATTTCAATTATTTCAAGTAGATAATTTATTACAGAACACAGCTTATTACAGAACACAGTGATGACTTATCTGCCATTTGATTGTCTCTTTTTTTAAAAATCAATCAAATTTAAAGTTAAAATGGTCTTTCAGTATTGGCAGGCACATGCAAACATTTCAATCACAGCAATGAACTGAACAAATGCAGTCAAAGTCTTTCAAGTTGATTATAGATTTCTATGTTACATTTTATACAGTCTTTATTTCTTAGATGTGTAGCAGTCTTCAGCCCGTCCAGCCTGGTGTGCGTGCTTTTTCTGCGTGCCCATGCAGTATGAAGCGTGCCTGGACTCCTGGAGCAATGGCCATACCTGAGCAATATTCATAGACATCATAGGAAGTGTCCGGACAATCTGTGCTTAGGTTGAATTTGGTTGCCCACTGCCATTGCCACCATTCATAGTCCCCCGTGTCTTGTTGACCAGAGCTGTAGAACCCGACCCATGAACGTTTGAATTCGGATTTCCAGTCATTGAACGTCTTCCTCACGTACAATCGAGCACCAGCCTTTCCGTCCTTTGCAAAAAGTTGCAGCTTTGCACTGTAGCCTTTTATACTCACATCTGAGGGGGTCTCAAACTCGCCACCCCTGTGTATTTCCTCTCCAATGGATGTCCAGAAGCAGCACAGCTTCTTAATTTTGTGTAGCCGAACTTGAAGGCCTTCATTCAGAGGTACTGATGTGTTATAAATGCCCGATTTTGCGTTTCCAATAGACTTATAAGTTAAGTGTGTCTGAGCTTCATCATTCCTATACAGCACTACCATGGCACCTTCATTTAGACAATTTACCGGCACGTTATGCCAAATAATTTTTGCTTTTCCTTTCGTGCTTGTCGTTACCCTAAGTTGCATCTCAGGCTGCGTAAAACCTAGATAATACTGAGAAGCAACAATTGGCCTGCGCTCTGGGATGTGGACAACAAAATCAGGTTGCGTGTTCCTTTTCACTTGAGGCTGTCGCCTATTGTTGGGTTTATCAGAGATGTTCTTTTCCTGGATCACAATAAACAAAAGCAGCCCGAGACAGGCCAGGTCCCCCCACGTGTTTCGGAGGTACCTCATCTGAGAGTCGTCAGCTCTGCTTCCAAAGCGATCTCTTAGATTCTGCAGAGAGTATCTGTCGCCGTCCGCTGTAGAAAACTGCCTGATTTGACTTAAAAGATTGATTGTGACTTCGTAAGTGTGTGCAGGATCGTACGCGGTCCCCAGATTATCAGATGTCTGGTAATGCTGCGTGATGTACACTCTGTCTATCAGTCCAGACTGCCATTCCAAATTTTGTTCTCTCACTCTAAATATGATCCGGTCCCTGTTTCTCCCCTCATACCCTTGTCGAGGGTGGACAACATAGGAAGGCAGCTGTGACGACATCTCGTGATAGAGATTGCCCACAGTGAAATATCGTGTGTTTCCCCGAGGCAGCAGTTCCAACAACCTTTCATAGTTTCCATAGTGATGCGAGCCGTAATCGCCGCGGTTTGGATCGAAGGTCAGTCTGACAACATTGTTATTGTCAATATCAACAGTGCTGGCGAACCAGTGGAGTAGTAAAAGAGTGTGGGAAGGCACAGTGGGGCCAAAGTTGACCTTTTTGAGATCATTGATTGTCCTGAGCTTTTGCACCGCAGACACAGAAGTCAGGATAAGGAACAGAGCCACACAGCCACTCCTGATCACTCCTGGCATCTTCATTACACTGTTAACACATTTTAAAAAGAGTTGTTATTCAAACTGGCAAATTCCCAGTGCATACCTGTTTTGTTTTTTTTCTTCCTTTACACGTATGCCAGCTATATGGCAGCTTTATCATAACAGGCTTGAAGTGCAGAGTTATCTTAGATCGGTTTAACGTAGGGTAATTAAACCACTAAATCATGAGGCAACACACAACTGTTTTTGTTCTTAAAATACAGTAATTGTATTTGTGGATTGATGTTGTGCTAAATAATTAGAGAGCTTACCTGCACAAGTCAGCTGTTGCCAAGCATCTGTTCCCTTTATTTGTGTCGGAGCAGAGGCAACTCCCCTTAGGTTACCATTTCCTGGATAACGAAACCAGACCGAGAGTTTAGCTGAAGTGATACTTCCTGGCAGAGCTTTACTTCACTCTTAGACACCTCCTTTTTTTCATTGGAGGGGAGGGGGTTGATAACTCATACAGCTGTTGAAATACGAAAACAAATTTTTGTTACAATAGCTTCATTTCTATATTGCTGAGTAGAGAGCAAAAACATTCCTTTTTTCTTTTCTTCCGCAAATCTTTATTTCTAAATGGCACACAGGAGTTCTTGTACTCCTGGTTTACCTGGTTTTTACCGAGAGGAACAGTCTAAATCGATGATTAATAGTCCCGTTAATCTGCCCATGCTGACACGGCTCCACCAGCAACCAGCAGGAGGTGCTGCCACACAGGTAGTGGGACTCCCACCTGAGGCCCAGCAAACGGACAGTTGATCAAAGCCTGGTGGCAGTCCATCCTGGTTCAAAACACACTGGCAGTAGATCAGCTTCCTGATTCCTTATTAGTACATAAACATGCGCATGGCTCAGTCTGGTTTCAACCTGTTTAAAGCTGCAAAGCCTGTTTTCAAAGAGCTGACAGGGTCTCATTTGGCTGTTTACTATAAATCATCCAAGCTAAGGAAGTACTTCCGCTTTTCCCAGAGAGCTGGATGTGTGTGACACACACACAGACACCGATGTTTCCATTAGTTTAGAGGACATTGCACTCACTTCCGTAAAGTTCCTGGATATTTACTCTAACCAACCTCTAAGCTAAAGCCCAAAATCACTCTCACCTTAAAGCTTCCCAAACAAGAACAAAGGAAACAAAAGCACTTTATTTGCAGAAGTTTTCTATATGGTATTAATAGCTGAGGTCTTGATTTAGTGTAAGGGGTTGTAGCTCTGTATTTGGTCGTCTGTAAAAACAGGCAAAACATTTTTTTTTACTTTGTGAAACGAGGTAACCTAGAGGATTTGCTGTTTAAAAGCAAATACATTTAGACCTGATGACGGTGGCTCCAGAGAGGCAGTGAAAAGGATGAAGACTTTTTTGCCCCAGATTGAATTAGGGGTATTTTATCTTTCAAAGTAGAATGCATTCTTCCATGACACTGCAGGAGCTTAATTTGTATATTAATTAATTTATTGTAGAAATATGATTGTTTATTACTATTTTTCCTTTAAAAGATGGAGGTGTGATGCGTTTTGTGATATAAACATTTTGTATTCTTAGCTCACTGCTTAATCACCGTCACTGTCGGTAATAATGACATTGACAGCGTAATATTCATATTCAGTCACGTTTGCAGACATTAGTAAAGAAAATAATAGACTGGTGGAAAAGAATACTTTTGTATACATTTTGTATTCTCTCCAAAGAATACAGGATTTTTCCCCACAAAGGGTTTTCTCTTTGTACATGAAATATGTTTTTTTCAAGCCAAAACCTGTTTCTAAAACTCATTTCCTATCTACATTTTTTTGTGTCCCTAGTTTAAAAAGTTTGTTAAAAGTATTTATGGCAAAGTAAAGGTGAGCTTCAAAGACAGGGAAATGAAAAGAAAGAAGGTCAAGAATGAAAAGTTGTAAAGAGTAGGCCCTTAGTTTTTTGGAAAATGGAGGGTTTTTCACATCGTAAAACAAGTACAGAAGTGTTTATCTTCTCTCCATATTTGGTCGGACCTGCTTTTCTACAGGCTGATATGATCATCTGTGTTTATGTGAGAAAGTTTCACAAAAGCTGGGAGAAGCATTCCCTCCACATTTTGAGGACGATTCCAACTTTCCAACTTATTGTGTGCGTTTTTTAAAAATGATTATTATTTGTTTGTGGGTGTTTTGGTGGGGTGAGGGGGTTGAATAATGTTCATGTTAACGTATGCAGGTGCTGCCCTCCAGCACATTTTCCTGCTCATGTCTGTGCTGCGTTGCACTCATGCTGCTCCACAACTGTATAATTAAATGACACTTCCTGTGAGGGAACAGCTGCTCCACTCGTCTTCAGTCTCACAAATGTACATACTCCACATGAACAGTAGTAATTTACAAAACATGTTGCTTTTTGTTTACTCAGCCACTTTGGAGTATGTCTAAATTATTCTTATGTGCAGTTTTGCCTTTACTCCGCATAAACAGTCGCATGTACTCGATTACTAAAGGGCGTGAATCGTTATTTTAGCCGGGCCACATGCAGTACTGAATCATCTGATGAGCGACAGGCCTGTGTGGGAGGAATGACTGGGATGTGTTGAATGTGGACCTCTTGGAGCAGATGAGATGGCGATGCCAAGGAATGAGGGTTGTAAACGGTCCTGCGAGTTTAGGAGATGGAGATAAAACTGAACTGATCCTTAGTTTGTGTAGAAACAGTCACATGCTTTACACAACTGGTAAAACGCTGTCACTGACAAACACATACACACTGTTTATCTTTGTCTACTGGAATCTCTTTTAAAGATTCTTTCGTTTTAGTTTCTTTATGGTTTTTTTTGTTTTTTAAGGAGGGAGGGGGGTTATTCCAGGGAAGTGGGCGTATCTTGTAGCATTACTGGCTGAGTCACATGACAGGCATGGGTGGGAGGGGCAGGCAGGGATCTTCCACAGCCACTGCAGAGTTCGGCCTCTCACTGGAGTGCTCCACTTCAACAGGGGACGAATCATTCTCAAACACACGCACACACATTTTACACGCGGTGAGTGCTTTGGATACCGGGAGGGAGGGCATGTATGCATGTGTGTGTCTGTGGATTTATAAGAAAGAAAGCTGCGGCTGAAGGAAGTTTTTCTTCCCCCTTTGTTCTAAATGTCTTAAGGTTTTTCTTCTTTCCTGTTGTGTGCTGTTTCAAGCTACTGTTGCTCAGCAGTTCGGTGTTGGTCACTGTGGGCATGATGGCTGATGATAAGTAGACTGTTAGGAAACATGCCGTTGCCTCCAAAAGTCAGTTTTACAAGTTTAGTTACTGCGATCTGGTCTGCTTTTTATATCTTCTTTGTGTGCCATCATCATTGCAGCTGTGCTTGTTTTTTCCATGGAGAGCTTTGTAATCAGTTTTCGTTTGGTGCCAAACAAATGACAAACAAATGAACTAATGGGGACTTCTGCACAGGGTTCTTCCTTCACTGTTTGGACACATTTGAGTTGTTCTTGTTACCCATTTCTGTCTAGTTTTTTTTTTGTCCGTCATTGACATGTTGCCACTGACAAACTAATGGATCAGCTAGCAAACACTTTAAATAATTTCTTAGGACAAATGCTAACTAGACTGCACACGCTATGAAGGGAATGTGATGATTTGGTGTTTGACCAGAAAACTGCTTAAATGTACTGAGCTACAAATATTAACCAAAATAAAAAATAATTTCTCCCTTTTTTTGTGAGAGATGTTTGGTTTCTTAACCCACTTGCTGGTTAAGTTTTCTTTTTTAAGTTCCTTGGCCTCAGCCTCGTATGTCTTAAAAATATTTTAATTAAAATGTATTTTGAACTAGGGTTGATCTGTGAAGCATTCAACATTCCTCTCTGACAATACTCTGATGATAAAACAGTTTGAAAGCGCCAACCACCCCTCACCTATTCAGAGAGAGTTGTCCGCCTCTGGTTTGCCTCAAAAGCATGCATGCACACACTTCTACACACACAGAGCTGTTGAAAGGAGCTCTGTTGTGGCCCCTGTGCATTGCTAGGCAGGAGCAGAGTGTGGCCTTTCACCAGCATTTAATGGGACACTGAAAAGGTCAGCATTACCTTCCGTATCTTGGTTCTTGTGTGTGTTTGTGCATGTTTTAACTTGAATAGAAATCCACTGTTGTAAAATACTGTATTCTTAATGGATTTAGTGTCATAACTCTGAAGCTTAAAAAATGTCATGAATGTAATCAGCTCTCAAGTAAAATAGATAAGGTTTCCCCTCTGTGGCCTGATGGTGTACATGCTCTGATTCTCTGCTTTCCCCTGCTTTACATTTTGTGTTCATTATACGGAAGGATCTGATTTTATTGTTGCTGGTGGAGACTTGTAAAATCAGTGGTTTTGTCCAATCAAAGTCCCCATTCTTTAAGGACACTGCATCAATTGTCAAAACATTTTGAAAGATTGAATCATCATTGAAAACTATGTATAATGTCCTGGGTTGTTTCAAAATTAGAATCCACTATTGAACTCTTGGGTTTTAATTTGGGTCAGTAACAGTCCATCGATGTCGGTCTTCACACACAGTGTGTCAAATACCCTGAGGACTTCTAGTTGTATCCAGATAACAAACATTTACCCGGCTTTTGTAACAAATCTCTTTGACTGCCTTGGAGATTGGAAGAACTCTCTATACTCAAGTCAAGTTACCTTCCCATCAATACTCCAACTTTACTCTGTTATACCATTGAAATATTGGATGGTCATATTATGATGAAAAAGGATATCTCGTATTTGTACATCTATCATGGAACCCACGGACGGCTCAACTTTCATATTTAAAAAAGTGACTGAAAGAAAAGTGTGAAAGTTTTTTGTTTTCAGATACTTGTTCTGGCTGTTGTTTATTTGGTATTTATGTCCGTCTGACCTCTGTCCTCACACATGCCTGACCTCAACACATGTACAGATTCCTGATTGCCCCAGGCTCTTGTGGACCCATACTTTGTCAGGGAACCAGTCCACCGATGCCTTTTGACCTGTTCATTTAGATAAACGTTGACTGGATACCAAAGCCTGGCTCATGACATTACCGACTCCCGTCAGTGAGCAGCTGGCAGCTAATGCCCAGCTTATCCATGAATCAGCTTCTATGTTTAAAGTCTCAGAGAAGTGGCAGCTTTCTACAACGTTGCTTTGCAGTTTCTTCAGAGTAGAATATTTTTGTAAGGCATAAAAATCACTCAACTGTATTTATGTGAGGAATGTTGTACTGCAGGGGATTGCTCTCCATAATTGTAGATGTTGAGATAGAAATTAAACAAATTAGCCTTGGATTTGTTTGTCAGTGCATGATGGTCTTGGACTTGTGTGTTTGTACTGTATATTGATAATTGTGTGTGCTTCAAGAAATGTGGATGAAACCTCAAAGAATGCTGAGGAACCTTTTTATTGTGAGCAGTTTGGTGTCGAAGGCAGCTGAGAAGGCTAGAAAGACAACAGCTCTCTTGTGCACCACCGCAATATGGAGACTGAACATTCCTCTGGCAGTCTAGACAAACCTGTGGGCTTCTACTGTCATTACAGCAATTTGCATTTCTTGACTGTCGACAAAATAACGCCTTGCTGCTTTTCAGACATTCATGTAAATGCAACACTGTGAACAAAGTGAATGCACCGTTTAGCAGGATAGAAGGAAAGTTGGACAGGACGGTTCCAGAGGCAGATGGCAAATAGTCCAGTGCCAGGTGACGTGATGAGCGAGTTGGACCCTGCAGGGTCAAAGGGCACATTTCTCCAGTGAGCTGAATGATGAAGACTCTGGGAACTAGGTCTTGCTGCACAAACACTCTGACTTTAATAACACAACAGACCATGTTTGCACTGCAGCCACGCTAATTTCCCCCTTTTATTAAGGGATTCCCTGTCAGAGGGTGGGAAAATGCTTTTATGTGCGTGTGTGTTTATGTCACTCATGAACTCATGGGGTCTGGGGTATCACATTAACTCTGTAGGAGGGGTGTTGGAGCCCAAATTCAAAATAATACATATTTCTGTGTTGAGTTGGCACCATCCCAGCTGGAAAGGCTGGAACTCGTAAAAGTTTAGCATTCAATCATGATAGATAGAATCTGCAACAGCCCACATTCTAAAGAAGCATCAAAACAAATCTGCCAATTTTAAGATGAGACTCAAATCCCAACTTTCCTTTGCCTTGTCTGGGAATGTAAATAAAGTTCAAAAGACGCAGATGTTTTTAAATCAGGCACCTAGAAAAGATTTTAGTAGATTAATCGTCCGTCTGTTTTACTTGGAACTCAAACAGGCCCTTCAGATATGAGCTCTGGCTATCCTGTCACTTGGAGGGAATATTGGTGGATCCTCAAAAGACGTGAGATGTAAATTTTAGGTGGTGGAAAAACAAGGGAATGTGTAATTACAATAATAATTACCCTGAAAGAATTTCTGCTACAAACTGCTGTGTATTTTTGTAAGTGCTAAATATGTATAGACAAGACAATATAGAGCATTGAAACAGAAAAAAATACTGTTAAGTGTCCATGTTACACATCACAAAGTTAGAAAATAAACTCTTGGCTGGATCAGAGTGACTCACTATCGTCAATGACCCTTTGCTCTTTCTCCAAGTTTCCAGCTCATTGCTCTTTTAGGATTCCACCCCTGTGGTTCCGGCCAGATTTTACAGAGGGTCAAACCACTGGTTTGTCATTAGGGGAATAGCCTCAGCAGAATCGTTTTCCAACCTAAACTGGACCGTGACCTCTGACCTGCTGGCTACGCCGTCAGAATCAACACTGGACAGCTGTGGCACAGCTCGCTGGTTTTGGTGCCTCGTCGGAAAGCAGAGGAAGTCACAGTAAACGGTTATTCATTTCTTAGATGTTTCAGTGAGTTATGAGAAGAGTATGAAAGGAAGGACAACATGTTTAGCTGGTTTAAAATGCATTTACATCCTGGTTTGAAGGCCTGTGTGTAGTTAGGGAGGAATGCCTCAGGCTTAAAAGGGGAATAAATCACCCACTCAGCTGTCTGTGCAGTCTTTCCTTTTTCCTTCCCCCTCCTCCATTCTACATGCTTTCCTGTGTCCATCCTATCCCTGACTTTTATCTTTTTTACCTCCCCCATCCGCAAAGATCCTCTTCCTTTTTGTTTCTTTGCTTTATCTCATGCTTATCCCAAAAAGTCTGCCATTCTTTCTTTACGCCCTCCCTGCTCTTGTTTTCCCTCTTTCCTTTTTTTCTTCAAAAATGCTTTGTGGTATAGGAGGCTGCTGGCTGTATTCTCAAAAAGCAAAGCAATCTGATACTTCTGGAGGCTGAAAAAGTCTTTAGTGACTGTAATTGAAAACAGCATCACACCAAGTTCATGGAGTCATTCTGTACTTTCCAATTTCTAAAATTAATTTTGCTTTACATCCCTTAACTGGATCTACAGCAGGAAAAACCTGATTTAGGGATGGATTACTCTTTAATCAAAGACAAATGTCTTTGATTTGATTTAAATTCAAATAGGGTTGGGACATGTTTTCATGTATCGGTAAAATAATAAAAAAATCTTGTGGTTACGCAGTAAAAATTCCTGAAATGAGTCTGAAGAGGTAAAAACTGAGCATTTTTTAGTTAATCAGTAATGCAATCAGCTGACATATTACACTTGTGGTGAAGTGTGTGGTGAAGGTACATATGGACAAAAACTTTTTTTTTTTTAATGTCTACATCCTCAGTTTCCACACCTTTGTGGGAATACTTGAGCTTTTGCTAATCTAACCCCCAGGAAAATCTCTTACATTTTTAAGATGGAACATTGACCAGGCACATCTGACATTTCTTGGTAAAAACCGTTCTGCAAACAGCCTTTTGCATTGGCGTCCCCGTGTTTGTGCAGATGTCCCTACCAGATGGAGAGCCACCAGTCCCAGAGACTTTTACAGATGGAGGTCAAATGGTTTAACATTTTTAGGAGCGTGCTCCAACCGCTTGTCTCCTGACACCTGTGTTTATTGGCTGAGGCCCATTGCAGACTTCAGGGATGGGCTGAAGGTACTGAATAGCTCTGTTTGATGAATGTACAGTGTCTCCAGATGGAGGCTGCACTAAAGTCCTCCTCCATTCTGGTTTCACTCACTCCAAACAACAGCTCAAACATCGTATGCTTCACTCACAGCTTGACATTCTTGTCTCAACAAATCTATATTGTGAAATGCCTTGTTTACTGAGGCTGATGACAGTTTACTACCTGTAATGAAAGTGATTTATTTTGGTTGCTCAGCAGAGATGGGTTTCCCACAGAAGGTGTCCAAGTTTTTGTGGCCCTTTGTGTGTTGCGTATTTGCTCATCTTTTTATTGTATTTGACTCTACATCACCCAACCAGAGGAAATTAGTGGTTTGTGTTCATGACGGACAGTGGACAACGCTTTGAAGAGGGAAGAGTCGCTTCACTCTGGGAAACCATATAGTCAATGGCTGCCACTCTTCACTGCCCCCTCCATTCACTTAGCCTGTTATTGACTTAGGATTTTTCCACTCACACAAAGAGATTAGTGCGTGTTTACTGTTTGTTAAACAGGACTGGCCGCATGTTGACACTTTAGATGTGGTCTATATTGTTCTCTGAAATGAGATACTCTTAACTCTTCATGCCGATGCAGGCTGGAGCTGAGCAGACAGCCAAAGATCACACACTGAACTATGGAAACCTATAGTTGTCACTAAACTAATTGGACTTTTATAGGACTAATGTATTTGAATAGTTGAAGTAATTCAGGTGATTTTGAAAAGTTGTATGACGGTAGTATACTGCATGATTTCATGGGTGTAGCTGCTTTCAGATGATATTGGAGTACACAGGGACTTGTGCTGGTATCTGTGAACGTTGCTCATCTTGTGTCCGTTTACTGTGATGCTTTCACATGAGGTTTTTATCTGTTGTTGCAGCCTTGCCTGTCAAAGTGTGCTGACCCCTGGTTAAGATCATAAAGACAAGACTGACATCAGCAGGGAAAAGTTTTAGACAGAGAAGAATATTTTCCAGCTTTATCTCCCTGACGATGAGTCAGGGAGAGCGAGAAGAAAGAAAATCTAATTGAAAGTGGATGGGGATAGAAAAGAGGCAGAGTCAGAGTGAGGCAGGAGGAGAACAACAAGCAAAGCAGAGGTATAGGAGCGAGGGAGGCAGAACGCATTGAGTCGCAGTAAGTTGCTGACTGACTGCTGGAACAGGATGGGGAAGTGGTGAAGGATGCCAGGAGAGCTGCTTCCATAGGTGGGACTCTGACACACACATTCACACAATAGAGGACATTATAGGACTACAAGGTATAATGTTTGGGATTTCCAGAGAAGTGTTATCCTTCGCTTATGTTTTTTTGTTGTTTTTTTAATTAATCAATGCAATGGTAATTCAAATAGTGTGGATCTCTCTCCCAGCAGTGGTTCTGGACCATGCTGAGTTAAGTGATTTAAGTGAATTGGCTT